AGTTTCTTCACGAACAATGGCAAAAAAGTAGGTCATCTTCTGATTCATTTGTCCGCCATTAACCGTTAGCTATGCATCGTTCATCTATCATGTATCTCCGTTCATACACGTTTTAACTGCGCCATCAAACGTGTGAAGTTGAATTAGTTTTAATCGCATCAATTTGCCCAGGGTTCATCGTTTATCTCGTCTTATTCATTTAACATTGAGACATGATAAAGAAAGCGTGGAAAAGTTTTCAAATTTAGCCTCAAGCTTGTGTGATGCATTGTTCATGCAGTTAATGATAACAGAAGTTATATGCCCGACAAATATCGAGCCACTATAGGCTTTGAATATTTATATAATTCTAGAACTGTTTAATCAATAATATAATGCAAGCAAAATTTGATGTAAACTTACTGCGAGCTTTCGTCTATGTTATCAACATGACTTCGTCAATCGTCAATCACTTCTACGATCATTATAAGCAAACGAGATGAAACTATTTGAATATTTATATATTTATTTAATTTATTTCTGTATATTGTAGAAACTTTCTGTTCTCATGTAATAAGTGGTAAGTTAAAGAAACAGAGAAAGCACTATTCTTACTGAAAATATATTTAATAATTAAAATGACAATATTCTTGTATCTTTTATCTTTTTCTGTTATTTTCATTTATATTTTAGGAAAATAAAATGATGTATTACGTTAATTTTGGTTTCATTTATCCCTGGCATGTTTTGCTTCAGAATTCAAGTAAAATTGTACATTCTGTTTCCTTATATATAGTAGTTTATGTCTGCAGCATAGTCATTGCTTGGTATTGTCAATATACCAACAGCTAGCCAAAATATACTATTAAAGTTAATTTGAGATTAAGATTCCATAGGTTATTATATGGAATGCATGCAAATGAACTTGGTTGTAAACTAGTATCTAGTTTCTCTTGTAACAGGCAAGAATTATAAACCAAGAAAGGATATTTTCTCAAACTGGACACCTTCAGCTTTAGAATAGCTAAGGCTGTATCCCTAAAGAAAACAACCCTATTCACTGTCACCAAGGACTACAGAATTCCCAATCTTTGCCTGAAGGAAACTTAATCTTTGGTATTTAGTGTCTATTATTTTCAACAAGTTCTTTCATGGCAACTGTTTTGTTAAGTGAAGTGTCATTAATTCTCAAATAATGGAGCGAGTGTAAACTTGGAAGGAAGTACAGTATGTGTTCTTGAGAAGAGTGTGATGTTATCTCATTGTATTACTGTGCCATTCATCAAATAAACATCCTACCACAGGCAGACATATTTGACTTTATTGTGTTTTATAATTATAATTTTATATTGTTCTAATTGGTGAACTAAAATTATACCAAAATGTAGGCACAGTAATAATTGTATTTTCTATTATCAATACTATTTTATTGCATTCTAAAACGTACAACTTAACTATTTTTACATGCTGTCGTATTATTGGGATACACTTTATTGTGTCTGGTTTGTTTCCTTCGGGTTTTTTTTTTCAAAGAAATTGTGCAATTAAGTAGCTTGGTTTGAAATTAGAAGAGTCTGAAATATTCACTATTGGTATTACAAATTTCAATCCAGCATAAAAAAAAAAATTGATCAATACCTTTATTTTTAATTTGAGTTCCAGCCTGTTGCCACATGGCTTTTTGCCACCAAGCCTTTTGCCAAACAGCATTTTCCACCCGGCCCCTTTTTTCACCCAGCATTTTTACACCAGTCTTGCCTCTGAGGCCTGTTGCAAAAGGCAGTGTATTAAAGTCAGATTCCGGAGGATAAAAATTGTGTTGATATGTTGTAGGACTGATGTTTCTAAGACAATATTTAAAAACTGGGAAAAAAAAGTTTAGAAAAATCAGTTCTACAACATGTCAAATTTCCCCCCCCCCCACCTTCCTGAGCCTGACTTTTAAAAAGCCAGGTGGCAATGGACATATATCCCTATAATTGACATACACATTAAACCGTAAATAAATATATGAAAATAAATATATGAAAGTAAATAGTTGAGAAAAGTTTTTATGGGAATTTATATTTTAATATGGTGTCCTCTGGGAACAGAACTGTTGGAAATTACATAAATAATCTAAGAGAAACGAATTTTCATTAAAAGTTTATATTTCCCTTTAGATTGTCTTCTTGAAAACTGCAGATTAAATTGTCAGCGCAGGCAGTTTTTGTTGATTTATTTAGTATTGGCTTCAAACACATGTGCTATATGAGGTAACATTAAGAGGAGTGTGGTTTAAAGGGGTCAAAGGTGATGTGCTTTATAGCCAAAGATGTCAATAAATTGTAGTGATGGGAAGATGGGCACAAGGACAAGTGTCAAAACAATGTCAGGTGGTTTAACTCAACCAATCACAGGTTAGAAAGTGTTCCTGTAGTAGATTCAATTTATTTGACTTTTTTTCAGAATTTGTTTTAGAAATGTGTAATTTCCCTATATTAAAAAACAAAAGACAAGCAATTACAATCACATTAAAAAGTAAACAAAGAAATTGGAATAGAAATAAATACAAAAATACTAGGATTTAGTAGATATATAGATAGATAGAAATCTTTCTTTATTCTGGATACTCAGTCAGTATTGTTACACTGTCCTTCTCTCTGAAAATATGAAAGGAGAGCATGATACTAGGGATGGCATATGAAAAAACTATTAAAGCACATTTCCAATGTAGTCTATAAAATTTTGAATATTATATACATTTATTTTCTTCTTGAATTTAAAATTTAGTTTGTTTTGTTTTCTTTGTATCCTAGTAGATATTTTGTTTGGAAGAAGCATATAAGTACAAAGGCTATTTTTGGCTTTTTAATAAAAAGTCTTATGGTTGTAGCCCACTTATTTGTCATTTGAGTAAGGTACTTAATTATCTACTATTGTCCCTCCTCACCTAGAATAGGTACTTGGTAGTTTCTAATGTATGCTAAAAACTGATTACGGTACTAGCTGCATCAGTATGGAATACCACCAAAAGGCTGGATAGGCCTCTGTGCCTTTTTTCCATTTCATCCAACACTGTAAATACATTAAAACATAAATAATCAAATAAAATAAATTCAATATTATCCTAACACATACATATGTACACAAGATAACTTAATCTTTCTCAACCAAGTGGGTCATTGTTTGAACGTGATAGGAATTGAACTTAGGACATGTGAATTATAAGACAAGCATCAAGCTACAGTTACACTCTTCCATAGGTGTTTAGAAACCATACATTAGGCTGGAGTTTCTTAGGATTTGAACACACAATAATTTTACTGATGGTTTTAGTCTTCTTTTACTTATTTAATTTATCCTGGTAATTAATTGTGTCTCTGCTAGTTGGGACATCCCTTGAAAAGTAATTAGGTTCGCAGTTGGAGTTTCCTGGGCCAGAATTTTTGACAATTTAGTTTTTGTTTTGTATGTTTGCATTTTTGCTTGTTTGTTGTTTTTCCAGAATAAATTGAACACATGACTTGTGGATTGGTAGATAATATCTTATGGTTTATGGGTTGCTTGTTAAGTAGCCCTTATCATATGCTAGTTTCTAATAAGTAAGTTTGATAGGTATTCAATGACATTCTGTAGGGAATTGTTGAATAAAGTCAGATATTAAGGCCAATTTGCAGAGCATAAAAGCGGTATGAGATAGCGACAGAAACATTCTGTCGCGCCATGCAATCTATTTACACAGCACGCAACAATGCTGAGCGGAGGATGACAAGTGATGAGAGTCACTGTGGTCACTGATTGGTCAGAATGTTTTTTGCTGCGCGGCAGTCTTTTTTCAAAAAATATAAAACTATGCTGTGCTAAGCAAAATGTAGCTTTCCCATATAGTCATGTAGTGTACACTGTGGATCAACATCAAGAAAATAATTGGTTCTGGACATCTGGACTTAGGCTTAAAATTCCAATAAAGCTTAAGACAATTATTTCTAGTCTACAGTAGGCTTCCAGTCCAGTCCAGGCTTGGAACTTTACCAGGAAAGCAAAGCTTCAGATAATTTGGTCTGGTTTTAGGGTGGTTCTGGTCCATAGGCTTAGCCAGCTAGCCGTCCGGCCGTCTATTGGACGGCCTACAATTATTTAGGACGGCCACTTTTACCGAGACGGCTTGGACGGCTTGGCCTAATCAGCTCGGCCCAGCCTAATTGGGCCTGGTCTTAGTCTACCGTTAGCAAATTCTTTATATTCTTCAAATATATCGAATATTACATTAAACTAAAGCTAAATCATTTTTACGTTTGATAAAAAGCAATATTTATTGATTGAATGTACGTTGTTTTCGTACCAATATTCGGTGGGGATTCCCAAAGATGGGCGTGGCTCGCCCATCGGCTCAGTGCCACGCATACTGGCTTCCATATTTGACGGCCTATTTTGTTTTTCTGGCTAAACCCTTGTTCTGGTCTTAACCATGGTCTTACAGTTCAGCATACTCTGTTGCAGTTTCTTCGGAAAGAATAAATATATATATTTGTTCAGTTCAATTACTTTGAGCTGTTTGTTGGTTTACCTGTAATCCATCGAGTCCGAGAAGTGTTGCGTCCGTATTTGATTTGATTGAAAAATACTTAACTAATAATACTTAGAATCTGACAAGTCTTTTGCTGTTAGTTGACATAAAGATTCGGTTTAAGTACATAATCCACGAAAGCTACTCCCAGCTCTTGAATCTTAATGTCAGAATGTGTTAGTTTCCTAAAGAATTGGATGACCTTTGACCTCCATGTAATGCTTACACATAAATGATGTTTATTTGAATAATGCTATATCTGTCTCTTATACACATCTAGATGTGTATAAGAGACAGGTCTAATGTCGATTGACCATGGATACAGGCATGTGTATTGGTTTACTACACTGTATGTTGAGGACAATGAATAAAGTAGGAGTTTTGTAAGTATGGTGGTAATTAAAGAAAAATTGATTTTTTTTAAGAATGGTAGAAAAATATTGATTATTGAATGCTGTATTTTACTTTTCAGGGACTTGAGCAATAACCGCATATCTATCATAGAACCAGATGCATTTTTACCACTTGGGAAGTTAAAGAAACTGTAAGTTTAATGTTTTGTTTTCAAGTTCACTTACCTGCCAATAATTAAACTAATTGGACTCAACAAATTATGTGTTTCTATTGACGTCAACATGCCCATATAGATGTGATTTGACATTATCATGCCCATATATAGATGCAATATGACATCTAAATGCCCATTATTATAATAGATGTGATATGATACCATGCATAATAAACATAAAATTTGATAGTTTAAATAAAACTTACAGTAAATGTATAGTTCTGGAATTATTTTGGACTGAGGCCCATTTTTTAGTTGCTCAAAATATGGGGCACCTTTGTGCTTAATTGCTAATTTGAGTGCCCACACTGAAAAAAGATTGACCCTAATCATTGTATTGTAGCAGTTCAGAGCAAAGTGTAATCTGAGATTTGAGTTGTCTTGGTTAATTGATAACTACTGATCTTACTGTATATAGTTTCATGAACATTGCTCTAATGCATCATTTGTATTGCAGAATATTTATGATCTTATTAGTGTTAAAATATATATTTACAATATACAATGTGAATATTCATTGTCTAAATTCATAAATATTCAATTACCATTGTCATGAATATTTTATGAAAAACATTTGAAAAAAAATATAGAAGACATTTAGGCATCTTGGAAATTGTCAATGTGTATTTATATATTATGTAACTGTACATTTACTCTTGCCTTTCTCTTAGAGTAATTTTAAACATTCAGTACTTTACTAAATTACATTGCCATTACTGATTCTAAATGTTGCATGCTTAGCTTCAAATTAACATATTATCACTTGATTGATTGAATTCTTATTTGCCAAATGTTATATTTAAAACTGTTTTTACCAGTTAATTAACTATCAGTGTTTTATGCAATATTTTCAAATTAATGGCAACTCCATAAATTTAGGGGAGGGGGGAGTGGATTGAACAAGGGTGCTGCCTAGAGGCTTGGTCAGGACTCTGAATAAAATCTCTAATGGAGTTCATGGGCAAAATTTTATGATTTCAAATAGTCCAAATTATGCTTTTTTCAGCTGTATATCTTGTAGTATTTTGGAGCCATGTCTTAATTTAGAGCCGGCGTTGGAAGTCGTGGCACATATGTTTGGTTTAAGATGGGGATGTTGTAGATAATTTTGCAGGCAATGCATCTACTCATCCTGTTCCATTATCATCATGTCACTTTACATTATATGTGCAGCAGTATTTCTGATACTTATTACTTCCTACATATGCTGTTTCGTTGCTCGAAATTTGCCGCGTAATGCGTGTAAGATATCCGACATTCTACAAAATATGTGGTCATTGTCGGAGATTGTGCTTAGCCCGTCAAACAGTATTATGCGCAAAGTTAGACAGATATCGTCATGTGGCTGTTTAATTGACGCAGTTCGCCGCAAAAACAAGTGTCTTATGCTTACTCATGTCTCCCGAGCCATGGTGTCAAATTTCTCTGTGTCAAACCGCTTTTTTGCTCAATATCTTTCACTTCAAAGCATGGAATACATTTTTCTGACAGGAATTTCATTCTCCTTAATAATAAATTTGTCAGGTAAACCACATCTACCCATTAATATTGAATAGGAATCATGCTATTTGAAAGAAAATTATACCAGTGAACAGAAATTTTCTTTTATATATTTTAATATTACATAGATCTGAAAATTAGGTATTCAATTTTAGAATATTTGAAATAGAATTTGTAAAAGTCAATTGAAAAAGCTTTTTATTATAAATCTTAAGTGTCATTGGAATTTGATAACCAAAATTACACATTTTAAATTAAGTAATTCTGTAGTTTCATTGATTTGAATTTATTTTTAAGGTGGATTTCTATATTTTACCACAGACACTGTACATTTTAACTATCTTGATGTTTCCTTGCACTTTCATTAGTTTTAGACATCTTCATGAAAAAGAAACAAAATTTGTCTTCTGTCATCTGTACAGTAGTGTAATAAAATCTGTATTTAAATTTATAAAGGTGATTTTGAGTGATTTGACAATTTTATTTTCGATGTTCCTGATGTGTTGATTATAAATTTACTTAAAATTGTCTCTGTCTTTTTTTAGGGATTTGTCAAATAACAATCTCAGGACAATAATCAACAGTTCCTTATTCAATGGATTGGACAGTCTGGAAAAACTGTAAGTGAAATGGATGTATATCTTTAATTAATTAAGAAGTCCTGAAATAACATTTTTCCTGACACAGAAATAGTCATAATCCAACAATCTGCAGTTCTGGAGTATTTCCATTGCTTCCTTGGGAGTATTTCCATCATTTCCTTAGGAGCATTTCATCGCTCCCTTGGGAGAATTTTTATCACTCCCTTGGAAGCATTTTCATCATTCCTTTGGGAGTAATTTTTATTGATCCTTTGGAAGTATTTCCATTTTTTCCTTGGGAGCATTTCTATTGTTCCCTTAGGAATAATTCCATTGTTCCATTGGGAGCATTTTCATCGCTCTCTTGGAAGTGCTTTCTTCACTCCCTTTGAAGTATTTCTACAGTGTTACAGTAATAATGTTAACACGCATGTGTCTCACAAACACATGTGTTGTCCAACAAATGCACATGTTTGCGTATGTTTTTATACTCGTTTCCTTGGACTATAGCAATAATCCAAGGGGTGAGGCTTAGCAGAAAGATCCAATTAGCATAGACCAAATCTATTTGAGAACAGGTAGACCTATCTACCAACTCCTCAATGCAAAGATACAACATAAACAGGAGACAAGGTGTCAAGGAAATGAATGGCTTTGGCAATGGCATGTGGGAGTTCACTTTTCCATAAAGGTTTGTGCTTCCGCATCATCAAATGAAACTTGCCAAACTAAAATATCACAAAAAATAGTAAAAATCAACTCCTATATCATTTACATGTCTCACACACCTGCTAGGAATTGATTTAAGCTTGTATTATATTTGTCGCTTACTGGTAATTACATTTTTAAGTATGTTTTATGCATCATACATTATTTACAAAAATAATTGTACAGTATTATCATTACGAATAAAGCTTTTTAACTTTGATTTAATTTCTAGGAATCTGTCGTTCAATTTGATATCACGGTTTCCAGAAAATTGTTTCAACAGCGTTAATCTTCCAAAGCTGAAATCACTGTAAGTTTTTTGGTTTTTTTTGTGCACTAATTGTAATTTTGATGTGTGTTTGCATCAGGAAAATATCACAGGAGTGATGTTTTGCCCTACCTGACGTGTTATCATACCAAATACTCAGTACGTTCCCAAATACTTGTGAACATACTGAGTATTTGGTAATTGCCCTTTACCTGTAAGGCAAAACATCACTCCTAAACATAATTGTTTTGTATTCCTATACAGGAAACTCAACAACATTCACCATTAGTTTTGTTACTGTGTAGGAATCTTCAAAAGATCAAATTAGATTAACAAACAGGTTGCGACCTACATCTATACTTGCTCGTCAATTTAAAGATGTGCTCATTTTGGAAATATCAAAGGATCATTAACATAGAACAGGAGCACTAGCAAAACAGGTGTAACCTAATTAGCAACTTATTCAGAATTATCTGTAGTGTGGATCTACTCTTTCGACACTTTGATTTAGAACAGGTAAATAGTTGATCTAGTAAAGCATACAATGTAATTACAAGACTCATCCACAGATATTTTTGTATATTTGTACTTTCTAAAAAATGTTTTAAGAAAGGTCAATGCACACAATGCACCTAATGGCCTGTCACTGGCTAAATATAGTTGATTCATTCAATAATTCCAACCTAATCTAATGTTTTAAATAGTCCTTGTTGAAATTCAACAAGGAAATTCTGAGTATGTCTGGAGACCCACATCGGCCTCAAGACAATCTCCTACTCTTTTTAAATTGTGGACTGAGTTCTTTTTCTTTACCCATTCGCTATTACGCACACAGTATCAACGTCTTAACATCCAATCTGAAGGGCAATGTAATTAGAGCAAAGTGTTTTACTCAAGATATCCAGAGAAAAATTTGGGTAGGGGACCATGCAATGTGCGAAGCATCTAGCTGGGATTGCAGTGTTTGAGAATTTTGTTTTGAAATGCTTGACTAAGGACACTGGTACAGTACATGGAATTTAAATAAACAAATTAGGTGTTTTGGAATACAATGCTCCCTCCTTTCTCCTCTTTTTTTTTTTCTCCCTTTTTGGGGGTCCTAGCCCCTGTTCTCCTCCCCCAGATTGGGCTCCCCCTGTTTAACACACTACAGTAGGTTTACACTAGTAGAGAATGTACTGTTTTTTTCTCTACACTAGTTATAAGCTATTAAAAACATTTGCTGGCAACATAGAATATTGCGACCTTGAACATATAAAATAAGATCCATGCAGTGGTTAATAAATCAACATCAACGTTTATTGTGATTGAATTTTCAATCCAATATATCTTAAAAATAGAAATGTGAAATCAAGATAAATACATAAATTGTACAGTACCACATGTTAGATGTTGTTGACAGCATGTATTTGATTCTTGGTGTATTTTATAACAAGCGTCTAGAGATGATTGAGAGCAAGATGTAGCATAGCAATGTTAAAATTTGCCACAGTCCCATGCCAATCATTCATAGTGTATAAGCTCTGTCCACACCATATATAGTCATGATGTGCCTATATATGGCCATGATATGATGTCATCATGACCATATTTAGGCATGACATGTTTTTTTCAAATAGTCTGTGATAGGGCTTTAGATATTTACTTTCAAAAGACAGTGGGAAGAACTATAGAATGGAAACTCAATGAAAATGAACAATAAACCAGTCATAGAAGTAGGGAATATAGATTTTGTATGGACACATCACCACCAAAAATTAGGGGGTTCAGTGCATTGTCCTAAAAAGTTCATCGGGGAAAAAAATTGTTAAACAATTGATTTCTGTGCAACAGATATTTTCTTTTCCTTTCTGTAGAAGAAATATTATAGAAAATAATTTATAATGTATGTACATAAAAATTTATAACCCCAATGATATTTTTGAAATTTTATTAATATACCATTATGTTTGATATGACAAGTGATCACAGGTTAATAAATATAATAAAATATTATTATATAATAATTCAGTAGACTATAAAATACTAATTATGTCTGATAGTTGTTGTCCCTTTTGGTTTGGTGTAGAATATGAACACATCTTAAATGTATGGTTATCATTATTTACATTGACATGAACCTAGCAGTGGGGGGGGGTGTTTTGCGGGGCAATGCCATAACTTATGATAAACATTGACCTGCGTCAGGATTTAAGCTGACCCTGATAAAGAACACCAAGTGCTGAGCCTTCAGGGGACAGCTGTTTCCTCATTTTTATTTTGCTTTGGAATCAGATTTTATGAATAATATAATTAGTCTTTCGGTTGTTTACATCAACCCATCTACCTGTTGCAATAACGCTTCATATAAATGTTCCACTATGCATGCATAGGTAGGTAGGGTAGGTAGGTATGAATGGATGCATCATAGGTTTTTAAGGTGGTATTTAGTAAACTTTTTAAGCTTTTTCCACTGCTGCTGTACATTGACCTGTAGTGAAATGATGGTCCCTTGTTAGTTTCTAACAATATTAAGATAAGATGTAATAATCTCTTGGGAAATGGAAAAAAGAAAAAAAGAAAATTAAATTCATTAGTTTATTTGGTGAAATAGATCATTGCTCTCTAGGCCTACAGAGATATTTTTCATTTTCTATCAGAGTCTCTAACGCCATGATAGATTCAGAGACAGATAGTGCAGAAAACATCTTTAACGATCTTTCATTTTTATAATTAAATTAAATGGTATTTCAGATTAGTTTTAGACAGTATTAACTAGAAGTGACTAACATGGACAGACAAAAATTCTGCTTCTGAAGTCAATAACATTGTATCACAAAAACTATGCTTTAATATTATTACTTGACATAAAGGTTAATTTTTTAGTTTTTTTTTTTTTTTTAATAATTTAGTTAACTATATTAATATTTGTAAATAATGTATTCTAACCTACTTTATAAATTTGTTTTGTGCTCTCTATTATATAAGGCTCCCAAATGAACACCTTTGCCTGGATGGCTCATCCTCATAAAATATTGTTAAAAATAAATTTGAATTTGATGTAAATGATTGAGGTTTTATTATTTTTGAATGAAATTAATAAATAAGAAATATAGGGCAAAACATCACTCTCATTATATTTCCTGATGCATACCAAAATAGCATTGCACTGGCTGTTACTACTTGGGAATAGACTGAATTAGCGATAGATGCTGTTCAGATAATAGTGGGTATTCGAGCCAAAACAAACGCACAAAAATAGGCGATTTACACAGTAATTTAAGACTTTTCTCTACGATTGTGTATGCCAAATGTGAAATATAACAAGAATAAATCGTTCTATTTTGGGAATAAAACGTACATTGGTCATGTCTGCCTGTGTTACAACACGACGACGGCAGCCGTGTATTCACTCTCAGTGAATCATGGCGTCGGTTCATGAATGTGCTTGTTGCAAAACTCATGAAATGTGTTGTACTTGCAGATTTCAAGGAGAGCTACTGTAAGTTATTCAAAAATTATTGAATAATGTTCCTAACTTCACACCAATAACTTTGGCAGACTGGATGTCTATCTAACAAAACAGATTGGGTTTTCATATAAAACGAAATGACTTTGACGACAGCAAGGAGCTGCCTCACTCAATCATCACATCCAGCCATGTCGCGTTGTCGTGCAACAAGTGTCAGGGGCCGAGGCCTAGTCTGTAAAAACTCTACGTATATTTAACTTAATTTTACATGGAAATCAAATCAAACGTCTTCTGATGGTTCTGTGAACCTTCCTTAACCTACCAATGTTCTAAAAAGTATCTTACCCGCGTACTTTGGTTTTTTGCTTGTTTTCCTGGACTAAAACTCGCAACGTTATAGAATAGGACTTTTAGGCTTGTTTATAATTTTATACCCACTTGGCCAAATTGTGATGTCTTCTTTCGTCGCTAATTCGGTCTATTGGATTCAACACTAGCCACAAAGACCAATCTCAGTGATCTAGTGGTTATGACACCAGGCTGGTTACCTGAATAGGTGTTTGTGGGTTTGATTTGTGAACTCACCGAGTATTCAGTAGTATAACATGTCAGGTAAGGCAAACAAAAAAAAAATGCAGAAAAAAGGCAACATTCTGCAGGTGGAAAACAGTACCGCGAGCAGCTCTGCTAGAGATGGAAATGTGCGCTATATAAGATGACATTATTATTATCATTATTGTTATATCACTACCAAAATAGTGACAATAGTTTTGTTTGTGCAACTTTCTCAGGGATTTCCAATCTCCATATGTGCTGTGTGATTGTAACATGACATGGTTGCTAAAATGGAAGCAAGAAGAAAATGTGAAGATCTCCAACACAACAGTCTGTGAATATCCTGTGTCCTATCACAAGGATGAAGTTGATTCTCTGAATAGGAAAGTTTTAAATTGTAGTGAGTATCGCCACTTATTCACACTTTTTTTGTTGACATCATTACTGCCATTGCCTTCAATATCATCTTCCTCATCATCATCATTGTTGTCTTTGTTACGTTCGTTGTTGCTGCCACTATTGTCATATTGCTGCCATAATCTTAATCACATTTTAAGCTAAAGTCGCCCTTTCTACCGTCGCATGACCATTTAACCGATTGTTAGTTGCTTAGCATCGTAGCAAAATAGATCATAAGCAACTTAGTGCAACTTGCTATCGGAGCACTTGTGACGTCTGAAATCGTGCAGCTCACAATTGCTCGCCAGAATTTGGCAAGTTGCTATAGATCAGTTGATGTCAATTGAGTCGAGTCGCAAGGGCAATGTAAGCTTAGCTTTAAAAGAATTTATTTGATTGTTCTTGATAATGCGTGTGCCCTCAACAATACTTTTTACCAATCAAATGTGGCAAAGGCAAGCCAAACCAGTCACTCGTCGCAAAAATCGATTTTGAGTTATTAATACAGTGTTAGAGAGTAAAAGGATAGCTATAAAATGGTAAAAAAAATCATTCAAATCAGACATTTCCTTATGAAGTTACAAGCGTTTAAACATACAGCAGTTTAAAGAACAATATATGAGAAATCAGCTTCAAAGTTTATGATTTCAGGCATTTCTCATGCAGAAACTATCATCAAATCTTTAAAAAGTGTTACTTTAACATTGAAAATGGGGAAAATAACAGCATAGAATGATGTATAGATATGTAAAGATTAGTTTAGTTTAGTGCAATAAAATAGATTTTTTAAAATTTGACATTAAAGCATGTTTTGGCCATTTTCTCTGAAACACGATTTGCGACGAGTGACTGGTTTATGCATGTATATAATCATATTACTATTATTTTAAAATATTTTCTGTAGGTACATTTGTATGGGGCAAAACTGTTGCTGGTTTTACAGTTCGAGTTCATTGTCCATTTGGCAGTGATGCTGGGCAAAAATATGGATCTCGGATGTGTGATTTTAATGGGAAGTGGCAAGCTGTGGATACTTCCCAGTGTGTTTATGTTGATCGCACTACAAGATCCTTACAACGCCTCGCACAGGTTGGTAACTAATTTTCTTTTGAAATGAGTATTTTTTTTGTCCCATTTTGTCTGTTTGATCACTGTTAATTATTGAGAAAGTACATTATTAATGAGAAATAGAATCTAACCCGCTACATAACTGATCTCCATATTTTTTTTGTCATGTAAGTTCAACAGGCCCATAGCCAGGTTCTTCCAAGGGGGGTTTTCTGGGCGCGAGGTCCACAGTCAATGCCCAGGTAGTGTCGGGGAAACCCCCAAAGCAAGAGGATTTTTGTGCTTTATGGGTCTAAATAATGCTATAAAAGCAGATATGTTTGAAAATGTCTGTGTCTGGGTGGGTCTGCAGTGCATTAGTTGGGTTGGAGGACTTATTTGGGAAATTTAAAGAGGGGGTTTCGCCAGAAAAGAGGGGGGTTTGCTAGAAAAGGGAGGTTCTCCCGAACCATAACCCCCCCCCCCTGCATACGGGCCTGTTCAACATGTGCACATAATGTACAGTATGCTGCATGTGTAATGTGTATAGTAAACACCATTTATACTTCATATTTAGTGGATTAGTTCACAATAATACAATAATATGATCGTTTTGATAGGTAATTAGCATTGAGGCCTGTAACACACACTGTCGTGTTTTTTTTTTAGAACCTTATATTTATGTAGTGCCTTTCACAATCTGAAGACTATACAAGGCGCTGACATCAGTATTTCTCTGGATACTGAGTTGGCAAACTGTCACATTTTTTTCAACTTTTTCTGCTTCCAGGGGAGTGTCATGCTGCTACATACGCACAAGCCATACGTTCAATGTGATGAGCTTCAGTGTCCAACCACTTACATACTGTGTCGCACACTCCCACTAAACTTACATATATACACACATATCGATATTAAATCATAAACACACATAATGTGTTTTAGGAATAAAAAAAATCGGTGACATTCAAGTGATGATATCCAATTCCCATACATCATTTATTTTATTCTTCACTAATTTTACATTAACTTATGTTACACCTGAGTAAAAACACCTGCTTACAGTTTGTGTGTCGGTCTTTTAAAGAAGAATTCTAAACTGTAATATTTTCTTGTCTCTACAGCTAATAAACCCATTAATGTTGCACAATTCAATTAATGGCTTAGTTGAAATTGTATAATGATGGGGAAAAACTTGTTCCGAAATTATCAGGTGGTCGGTAATTCTTGTCAAATGTACATGCTCCTTCATACAAATAGGTCACATTTCTCAGCAGGGCATGTAGTTATTGCGCACCCATCAATATGTCACTGCCTGCCGCAAAAGATCAGCTCATTAAAATGTTTCTCAACATTTGGAGTACTGAGGGTGATATCAAGGTCATTTGTTTGTTCTGCGGCTGCTGAGAATTTATGTAATGTTTGCTAGTTGTTGAAGCATGGTTTTTTGTTTGTTTTATTTTTGGTCTAGCTTTAGTTCTCTAGTGGTTAGGAGAGAGTGATTTGAAAGTCAATACTGTTATCTCCTAGTACAAATTTATGGTGGCAACTAATATTGACAAAGTGCTATCAAAACAAGTTTTTTATTATTATTGTTCTTATTAATCTCGTTAAAGTTACCTTATTCGAAATACCACTTTCCTCTAGTAGTTGCTACCTTATTCAGGCAAGTGATGTAAAATTCCTAATAGGACAAGGGGAATCACAATGAGAATTTAGTCATGAATACATTATACAAACATTTAAGTTAATAATATAGTTATAAATAATAATAACAGGAATTTTCATCAGGGAAATTAATGTCATTCTTTTTTTTCCTTTAAAGTACATCATACATACATTACATCATTTATATAGCGCTATTTCATGAAGATCAGAGCGCCTTTTGCTTTTTTTGTATATTTTACTAATATACTGTGACGATGAAATACATCTAACAGAAGAAAACCGGAAAGTGAGGAGGGAAAAAAAATCATCATACAGGAAAATGAACGATGATGTTTTGAATGCAGTAATTAAGTAAGCAATTAAAGAAACAAATTAGCGATGCTTACCTTAAAAGAAAATGAGTTAGTATCACCAAATTGAAACATCAGAATCTAAGAAAAAAAAAACATGGTAATCTATTATTGATTTACTCACCATAAAACAGTCAAGTGGTAGACATTAAGAACTCATTCTCATCTTTTATGCATTTGGAATGCTTGCAGTTAATCGGCGCACACCATCTGCTTGGACATCGACTCTTGAGGTTTACCTGTTCTTTGCAAAATTTATTTCTTAATGCAGCTATACAAATTCAAGTTATCCACCTGTGTTAGTCATTCTCATTAGGCAGAAAGATTTTTTTTTTGTGCCGTTTTTTTTTTTTTGCATTTTGAAAATCAAGCATTGTTAAAGAATAACAAGGAAAGATTACCTTTGTAATGCTTCTTTCAAAATAATTTGTCATTAAATAATTGTTTTTAAAGGATTATGTCTGTATTTTATCCTAACTTTGACAATAATTTAAATATTTTGATTGTTTATTCCATAAGAGTAATTTATGATGTAAAGGAGTAAATCTTTTCTATTGGATTTGCTTGCTTATTTCATGACAATATTTTGCGTCCAATCCAGGATGCATCATCTGGCCAACTGGTGTTTTGTCGCTGACCTGAGATGTCAGATTCACAAACGTATAAGTAGCTATTAAATTTCAATTGAAAATTTGACAAATTATTTGCCTTAGTAGTTAGCTGCCATCAGGTATCAACTACTCTACTGGTACCATACTGTAAAGTATTGTAATTGTGCGATATAAAAAATTGGTATTAAGAGGTCAAAGCCTAATTTTCAACAAAACCTGTGCGGAAATCAGCGCTTATTTTCCAAACTATGCAGACAGATTTATGGGCCTAATTTTTGGCCAGACGATATATTCTTTTTGCAGTACCTTATTTTACAATTTGGTAATGCCATCTGTCCTCTTCTTACTGTAGGCAATTAACTAACATGTGTATATTTTTATTCATCGCTAAAAAATTTGAAGACACTGGCATGTTGTGCTATATAACGCATTTAATTGTTACATTTTTTTATTAGAATGTGATCACAAGTAAGTTAGAACAATTCTTTGT